TCCATCTATCTATCTATCTATCTATCTATCTATCTATCTATCTATCATCATCATCTCCCTCCCATGGAATTCGTTTATTTTATATTAAATTTGCTTATCAGAACAGCTATCTAGGTCCAAAACACTGTATGTATTTGGATTAGTATGGTGATACACCTCAGTATAGATATTTATTGCAAAACCAATGAAATGCACATCTGTTAGGTCAGTGATGGCTATTCTTTTTGTCGTCATGTGCCAAAAGCACGTGTGTGCATGAACCTATAATGTAATGCGTGTGCGACCCCCCGCACACCCTACGCATGTGCACACTTCCCCCGTGATCCCATGTGTGCATGATCCCCATGTGCCCGCCCGTGCATGCATGTGTGACCCCGTATGTGGATGCATTTCCCACATGCACCCAGCACATGCGTGGCAGAGTCCCAAAAACCAGCTGGCCAGCAGGAGACGCGGATGCATACACGGTGGAGCTGAGCTGGGGCAGCGGCTTGCATGCCTGCAGAGAGGGCTCTGCGTGCCACCTGTAGCACGTGTGCCATAGGTTCGCCATCGGGATGCTAGATTAATCCTCCAAACTATGAAGGCTACATGGCAATTTTGTATCTATCACAGTGATACAGTGGTCTATATATAAAGGGAGGGATAGAAGTTTACAGGCTTTGCCATGGCTGCTAGTGAAGTGATTTTGCTGAGAAAACGATTCTTCTTTTCTTTCCCACAATTTATCCAAGGAGTCTGAAATACATAGGCCTCCTTTTTATCCTCACAATAATTCTCTAAGATAAATTAGGCTGAGAATTGGTGATGAGCCCAAACTCACCAAAAGAGTTTTATGGCTGAATAGGAACTTGAACTGGGTCTCCTATTCTAAATCAAACTTTTCTAAAATAGCCAATTTTGCACTCATTGAAAGGATCGGCCTTAACTTGCAATTATTTGCCATTCAGAATAAGGAACTTGTTTTCAGAGCGTCCCAGGATAAATGATTCTTGACTACAGAGGTCGGGGAGACATTCTGATAATGAAATGTCTGTCTAACCCTTCCAGGCTCAATTTCAGACAATATTATTGTGAACTGTCCCTAACCACTGCAGAAACTGGGATGCTTAAGAGAGAAACACTTTGATGCCAGCCAATCTTCTCTTCAGTAAGAAAAAAGAAACAAAACATTCTGGCAGTATTCTGCTTGCTGAGTGGCATTTCTTCATCCTCTGTGCTGTAATCATTGCTGATATGTCAGGAGTATTTTCTTTCAAACCTATGCCCCATGGGAAGCTGGGACTCGGAGAGCCAGATTCTCCAATGATGAGAGCACAATCATTATCATTATTGCTATTATTCTGTATATGACAAAAGAAATAGGGGCAATATGCAAGAATGTCAGCCGTGGCAAATAATCTGGCAAGTCTCGTTTGCATTCTATTTGCAAATCTGATTGATAGAGCTCATTGCATTCTGTTATTGAGTTGAAATATCAATCTGCAAGAGCTTCAAGATTGTAATGTGATTCTTGCAGTTAAGACGACTTGTTATTTACAGCTGCACTGTAAAACTTTATACCTTATTGATCATGTAACACAGGGGTGATAGACTTGATTTCATTGAGGGCCACATCACACCACCTCAGGGGTGTGTGTGTGTGCTTAGCCAGGGTGGGTGTGTCCAGCTCGACATCACTCGTGTCAGGAGTGCCTGTGGTGCTTCAAGCTCTGTGCCAACGAAAACAGGCTCCTGAGCGCCATTCTTGGCTGTGACAGCTTCCTGCAACCCTCTGCCAGCGAAAATGAAGCTTGGGAGGGCTGCAAACTCCATTTTCACTGGCAGACCAGTCATTTGCTATTTCCATGGTGGCCCCATGGGCCAGATCTAAGCACCCTGTGGGCCAAATCCGGCTCACGGGCCTTGAGTTTGACACGCCTGATCTAACACAATAGATTTACTCCAATCATTTATGTTAGCTTTATAAGCTTCCACCTGACACCGTTTTCATTTTTCCAGCCCTCGCTAACTCTGTTTTCATTTTTACAAATTCATTTTTGAATAAGACTGTACTAATAATAAACACATTTCTTTGTGTTACAAATAAAAGCAAACATGGTATTCAAGCATATTATCAATTCAAGCTATGAGGAAGGGCATACTAAAGCAATAATGCAATAATGGGAGATGAATTTCTCATAACCACTTTACTTGTATTTCTTTTGATAATGTACCCCACTCAGCATTTGATCCTTATCTTTTCCTTTTGTATGAGGGCACATATTATTTTTCTGCCCAAGTAAGACAATTATTCATATTCACTTTTGGAATGAGCTGTTTACAAAGGTTTTCTATTCTTCCTTTCAAATCATGAATCAATACATTAAATAGCACTCATTTTGGCACATGGTTTTGGCATGCCTCCTTTGTTAGAGCTCTTGGCCATGAGCAAAACTCAATGGCAGAGCATAAGATTTGCCTACAAAAAGTTGCAGATTCAGTCTCAGATTATGGCTGGGTAAGACTCATAGCTAGAGGTCCCCTGCTAGTTACTATAAAAAGTAGCAAGTTGGAAAAACAGCTATCTGTTTCAATACAAATAATTTCCTATAGGGCCAATCATAATCTGCAGTTATGTAGTGGATAATATATACTATCTTTTTCAGAGTATAAGACACACCTTTTTCCCCCCAAAAAGAGGGTGAAAATCTGGGTGCGTCCTATACACTGAATACAGCATTTTTGGCCTACTGAAAGCCCACCCCCTTTGCAAAAATGGATGTGCGGAGGGTTTGGAAGGCTTCCAAAGTGCTCCTGGGAACTGGGGAGGGCAACAATGAGCAAAAAACAAGCCATTTATGCTCATTTTTGCCCCCCCCCCAGCCCCCAGGAGCACTCTACCAGCATCCCAAAGTTCAGCATGCCCCCCATTATTATTATTTTTTTGCAAAAGATGAGGTGTGTAGAGGTTTGGGAGCCCTGCAGAGTGCAAAAACTTCAAAATCATGGTGTGTCTTATACTCCGGTGCGTCTTATAGTCCGAAAAATATGGTATATATTCTCCACTTTCCTTTATACATACATACATTCATACACATACACATACACATACACATATGGTATCCAGACCTGTTTTTCCAATACAGAGATGACTACCTAGATAGTTTCAGACCATCAGGCGTTTGCAAGGAAGCTGTATCTGTAAATTTTAATTAAATGTAATTAATCTGTATATTCTATGCAGAAGGGTATTCATGGAGTTCCCAAAACCTATAGATTCTACAAACTTCTACAGTGCAGAAGTGAGCTTGTTTTATTAAACAACTGCAGAGATGGTTACCAATCTAAGATGTGTTTAAACATATTTAAGAAAGCTGAATAGATTATTCTGAATCAGAAGTGTGTATAAAGAATTTAGGAAGATGGCAATTATAAATCAAACAAATCTGCATAATACCCAGAGTTCATGTTTTTCATTTGCAGAGTATGCTGACAGTGAAGACTAAGCTATTATACACACTTTTAATCTTGGCAGACACTTGATAGAATGCACGTTTTTCTTTCATTTCATTGTTTTTTCCTCTTTTGGAACACAGCATAGATTGGAGTAAAATACAAGTGTTCTTTGTTAAATGTGAGCTCTCAGTAATTGTATTTCATAATTGTATTTTTCTGTAGACCCGCTTACAAGCTGGGCAAGGCTATGGAAACACACTTAACTGTATCCGCACTATATACAAAAAGGAAGCTGTAAGTATGCTCTTGTGTCTGAAACATATCTGTACAGAGAACAAGTGAAGTTTTTCATGTGCAATAATTTATAAGCATTGTCTCCAGAAAAATAATATTCAAGAGAATGAGATTCTTTTAAACCAGTATCACTTGTACAAATGTTTAATGCTGGGATTTCAAAACTGTCATCTAAAAGATTCAGAGAAGGCTTCAACTAAAATTCTAGGTCATGGGTTAATACCATCTCCCTATATTAATAGAAGACTTCACCTATTAATATTTTAATCAACAAATTCATGTACTGATAGCACATCAGTACTCTGACCACATAGCAAGAACACTCAAAATCAATTCTGATTTGCTATTTTGCTTGTATATTATCTATCAAGTAAAACATTTATGGTCCTCAAAATCTTCAAAAAGTGCGATCTAAGTAAATCAAATTAAAAATTCTGAAGAACTGAAAACAAGTCAATTTTTTAAATATATTGACAGCTTCATTCCCCTCAAAAACCTTTCATAATTAATGTGGACTTGAAAATACTGTGTTTCCCCGAAAATATGATATGTCATGATAATAAGGCCATGCCACATTTTTCTGGTGGGCAAAAATCTATGCTCTATGGTTGTACACTCTGCCGGCAGCTGGCCCACAACCATAGGGTATAAGCCCAGAGTGGCCACTGCTGGAAGACTCAGTTTGGAAGCCACCGAAAAAGCCATGCTGGGATGGTGATGGTGGCAGAGGCAGCAGCGGAGGTTCCCTGGCTCTGCAGGGAGAGCTGGGCCAGGGCATCGTGAGGCTAGGAGGGCCGTAAGCGAGAGCGGAACAGCCACTCATGCAACCCCCCTCTCCAGCCGTGCAAAGCGCCATTCACTGGCATTTCTAAGGCACCAAGCTGCGGGAGCCGGGCGGCGGCAAACAAGTGCTCACGCAGCTTGGCGATACCCCGTAGGTCAGTGAATGGCGCTGTGCCCGGCTGCAAAGGGGGTTTGCCGGGTGGCTGCTCGTGAGCGTGGTCGCTTCATGGCTGTTGCCATTCGCCCATGAGGCTGTGCCCGGCTCTTTGAGAGCAGCCGCCCAGCAACCCCAAAACAATAAACCCTCGCCTCATAATAAAGCCAAAGCCATATTTTGTGAGTAAAAAGAAAAAAAGGCCCTGTCTTATTTTCGGGAAAACACAGTATATTGATATTTGGCACGTATATCACACCTTGTTTACATCCATTGGGATTTCTGAATGTCCAAAACACATGAAGGAGCGAAGTATAGTGTGCCTGTTTATTAATATGTTTAATATTTGCTTGTTCCATGTTCTCTAGGAAACTCGTGCAGTTTTACAATATATTCTAATTCCATGAGTATTGTATGTAATATAACCTGAATAATCTATGATAGTATACAGTAAATACACACACACATATACACACAGTGTTTTCTCAGCTCTCTTCTGACATTCCTACCCATGCAGTAAGTACTCTGGCATTCATTTTGCAGTGCAGACTGTGGGCTCTCTAAGACAGGTGTTTAGATTTAATCGAGGGAATATGATGTTTCCAGGTACTTGAGAGACCGCCTCCTGCCAATTACCTCCCTACGACCAATTAGATCCCACAGATTAGGCCTCCTCCGGATACCGTCAGCTAGCCAGTGTCAACTGGCGACCCCCCCAGGGAAGGGCCTTTTCTGTGGCTGCTCCGGCCCTCTGGAACGATCTCCCCATGGAGATGCGGACCCTCACCCCCCTCCAGG